CGAGCAGGGAGCCCGATGCGGGACTCGATCCTGGGACTCCAGGATCATGACCTGAGCCGAAGGCAGTCGCTTAACCAACTGAGCCACCCAGGCGCCCCAATTCAACAATTCTACTCACATACCCAGGAGACCCTGTTGCACATGTACATCAAAATTAGGTAATAGCGCTATACATAATAGAAAAAACTCTATAACAAAATGTTACACACAGCAATGCAAATGAATAAACGACACATACAATTGTGGATAAATCTTAGCAATACAATATCAAGTTGAAAACAAAGCAGCCTCAAATTAAACACAGAAGAGCAGCCTTTTCATAAAGTTAAAAACTAATGTATTATTTTAAAATATATATTAGAGGACATAAAATGGTATTTTAAAAAAGGAAAGCCAGGGTATAATAAACACAGGATGCAAGACGGTGTCATCTCAAGTAGTAAAGGCAGGGGATAGTATAGAAAGAAATGGCTTAGCTAGATTTATATGATGGTTAAGATCACAGCACAAAAGCATTATAATATATGGAGAAGTTGATGCACAGAAATGGTAAGTGTCATGAACCAAGAAATAATCCAACATTCAATTCAATGTCCCTAAGATCCATGGTATGGTTAAGTTAAGAGATGAGATCTGAAGAGAATTAGTAACATAGAAAACGATCTTCAAATTCAAAAAGCTCAATGAATTTCAACCAGAGAAACGAAAAAGAAATCCTCATATTAACATAGGGTAGTGATACTGCAGTACACCAAATACAAAGAGAGCATCTTAAAAGCAGACCAAGAGGAAAGCCAGATTACTTAAAGAACAATTAGACCAAGAAGTTTCACAGGAGAAGTAGGGGAAGCCAGAAGACAACAATAACATATGCTTCAAAGTGTTGAGAAAAACTTTTAACTTAAAAAAACTTCCTTTAAAAATGAGAGTCCATGTTCACATAAAGACTCATACATATACAAGTCTTACACTTGTAATATTCACAACAGCCATCTGGAAACAATCCAAATGCCTATCAAATAACGATTTTATAAATAAACTCTGGTAATACCTACCCAATGAACTACCACTCATTAATAAAAAGGAACTACTGAGACACATAACATAAATGGATCTCAAATGCAATCTGCTAAGAGAAAGACACATCAACTACTATCTAGAGTATGATGCCATATATACATGACATTCTGGAAAAGACAAAATCAGAGGATCAGAAAGCAGTGGCTGGTGCCCCGTAACTAGGGATAGAAGAAGGGGATCACTCACAAAGAGCCCAAGAGAATTTTGAGATGACAGAAATGTCTATATGATGACTGTCAGTGGTTACTTAACTGCATGCATTTGACAAAACACACTGAATTATGTACTTATAATTAAATATTTCTATAAGAAATTTATATCTACTGACTAAATAAAGCTGATTTTTAAAACAGGGTGAGCATTGCAAACAAAGAAGATTCTTTAGACAAAAACTGAAAAATACGATGAACAAAAAGTCACTAAACAAAATCTTTTAAAGCATTTAGGTCTGAGGAGAAAGGAGAATAAAGAAACTGATAAACGTAAACAAATTAGTAAGTCAGTCTGTGTACATAAAAAAAATTGACAATAACTGATGGGAAGGGGCGCCTGGGTGGCTCAGTCATTAAGCGTCTGCCTTCAGCTCAGGTCATGGTCCCAGGGTTCTGGGATCGAGCCCCACATCGGGCTCCCTTCTCGGCGGGAAGCCTGCTTCTCCCTCTCTCACTATGTCTCTGTCAAATAAATAAATAAAATCTTAAAAAAAAAATAACTGATGGGAAGAAGGAGCAACAAGAAATTATAATGCTGGACAAAAACAGCATATAAATTGGGAAGGCTGAATGATCAGAGTATCCTAAAGTACCAATGTTGTTCAAGATACTGATTTGCTTTAGATTTTATTTAAGTGAAACATAGCAGTTAAAGAAATGCCACAAAGAATTAAAAAAAAACCAAATCAATCAGCCATAAAGCTATTAATCAGACACAGAAAAGTCGGTAAAATCCTACCAAAAGGAAGGTAGCATACTTCTATTAACATCAAATGAAATAGACTCTAAAGCAAGTCTCAATAAAATTCTAAGAACTGGTATAATACAAACTGATTAATGGCAATTATATTTGAAATTTAACGAAAAGAAATTTAAACACACTGCAAACCATAATAGTATCTAGAACTAGGTTATGATAAAACTGCACTATCAAAAGAGTAGTTCAAATAGTATTTATGGAGAAATTTAAATCCTTACTTTACTTTGAAGAGAAAAATACTGAAAATTAATGAGATAAAAATCCCAATTATTCCAATTAAAATTTAAAAAAATTATATAATAAGCCCAAAAAAGTGGAAAAAAAAATTACCAAAATAAAAAAACACTGTTATTCAGTGATTTGTACTGAAGGTACTGCTAGCAAAATAGCAAGAGCAAGGAAAAAGGACTAGAAAGGAAAAACAAAAATTTACATGATGGGGACTGTTGACAAAGACAAAAAAAAAAAAAGGCAAAACCCCCTATACTTTTGAAATATCCGTGAGAGTTCTATATGGTCACCAAACGAGATCAATATACAAAAGTCAATTGCGCATCTACACACCAGCAACAAGCTGAAGATGTAACCAGAAATTAAGGTTCCCAGAAATGAATATACCAAGATACCTAAGTTTTTCTGGAAGAAACTATCAACAATTAAGGAGATTAATGAAAAACTTAATATTTAAAATATTAAAGAAGACCTAACTAGACAGAGCATATCTGAATACTCAGTTTGAATACAGGAACAGGAATACTCAAAATTATAAAGATGTCAAGTCTCTTCAGAATCATCCTGGTGGGGGGCAGGGGTGTGGAGGGAGTAGGAGAATCATGACAAGCAGATCCTAAGGAGAACAAGTCTCAGAAAAGAAATGACATCCCAGAAGATCAAGTAGGGGTTTGCTCTACTTGCTAACAAGACTTAATATAAGCTACAGTCACATTATTAGCCCCAAAACAGATCCTCCCACATATAAAAACTTATTAGAGACAGTGCTACAGTTCAAGGAGAAAGGATTGGGCTTTCAAGTGAATGGTGCACAGACAACTGGGTATTCACTTAGAAAAAAATGAAACCATATCCCTACCTCACAACATATACAAAAATTAATTCCCAATAAATTAAGCACAAGAAAAGAGCATCATCACCTCAAGGATAGGGAAGAATTTCTTAAAACATAGCACTAATCATGAAGGAAATATACATGTGATATATTCAATTATACCATAATTAATAAATTCTATATATCAGAAGACACACAAGAGTCAAAATACAAGCCACAAACTGGGAAAAAAATACTTGCAAAAATTATTACCAGAGAAGAACTACATTTAGAATATAAAGAATCTCTAAAAAATAAATCCTAAACTCAAAATGATAAATACTAAACAAACAGCACCTATAAAAAGACACTTCACAGAAGAGGAAACAGGAATGGCCAATAAATACATGACAAGATGTTCAATCTATTTAGCAATTAGGGTAATGCAAATTAAAATCATGATGAACTTACTATTACAAACCCTGACAATCCCAACTTAAAAATTCTGGCAGCTGCATTATACGAATGCAATATCTCATTTTTTCAAAAAATAAATTTAATTTTATTTTTAAAAGATTTTTTATTTATCTGAGAGAGAGAGGGAGCACATGGGCGGGGGGAGGGGCAAAGGGAGAGGGAGAAGCAGACTCCCTGCTGAGCAGGGTTAGGGTTAGGGACTCGAGCCCAGGATCCCAGGACCCCGGAACCATGACCTGAGCTGAAAGCAGACGCTTAACCGACTAGCCACCCAGGCAACCCCAAAAATAAATTTAAAAAAGCTTCTCTGGAATAAATGTTTTCTAGCACCCAGTGGGTCATCATGTGGCTTGTTTTTCTACAAGCATGACAAAGACAGCCTCTGACACAGGGATCAATCAGCATTTTGACTGGTATGGCACAAGATTCACTATAAAACAAAGTTCTAGCTTTAGAAACTTTACCATTATATTTGAAGAGTTACCTCCCACCAATTTCCACTCCCCTTTAAAGAATAAATCTTTGGCTCCTCTAATAGCATTTAAATGTTATCAAGTAGAAACCTAGTCTTCACTGTCAAAAGAAACTCTATCTCAAAATTTACCAGTAAAGTTTTATACTCACTCATCAAGAGAATATACTTACTCCAAAACCCCTTGGTGCCCAAAATCAGAAGTACCGACTTGGGAACTTTTTGACTGGCTCAGAAAAGAGAGTAACTCACACAGGCCACTTACCTGTCATCTGGCCTTTTTGTTCCCCGCTCATAGGCAGAAGAAGGTGGTGAGAGAGAGCCCCTTCGTTTCCTTTTCTCTTTATTTTGAGTTTGCTTGTCTGGGTCTCTCTCTCTTGACCTGTTAGGAGTCTTTGGGGCAGCTGTTTGATCTCTGAAGCCAACAGCATCCCTTCCTCGTTCAGTTACTAAGGGAAAAGGGTTTTTAAAAATTTACTTGGCAGACTCTTCTCCATCATGATAGCATGTCAACTGTATAATACAATTTCTATCCAACAAATGGGTCTATGGACTCCTCCCTCACAGGCCCATTCAGAATTTGGATGAGACACAAGGTGGTGTGGTGTGTGTGTGTGCACTCTACTTCCTGAAAGTCTCTGCCATGAATTCTCTTTTCCACCTTCCCCAACCAAACTCTGAGTCCAAGCCTTCAACGTTTCTAACAAGTTCTGTGGAACACACTCATGCAAAATGTTCCCATTACCTTTAACAGGGAAGTCTGCTTGAAGTTCAAAATGTAAAAGCCTTCAACTGCCTCTATAGCTCTGCACATTTACAGTTTACAGAAGAGCAGCCTGGCATGCTAAGCATAAAAATCTCAAAGGGAAAAAGTCTCTTCAATTAAAAAAAAAGGGGGGGGTGGAATTAGACAAATTTTTTAACAACTACCATGTCAAAAGGAAAACATTACAAATACAGATGATGACAGGTAATAACTCAGGAAGTTATCAAAACCAGAGAGCTCCATCTTCAAAAAAAGAATGCCATTTTCCTACTGAAAGATAACACTATTAACATTTTCTACTCAGCTTCTTTACCTAGAATGGTCCTCACCCAACTCCACTGTCACTGCTCCCAAAAGCTGTGCTAGGTATTACTTTTTCACTGACCTCACCTCCTACTTTCTCACCCCCCTAAGAAGTCTAAATCCCACCACTTAATATTTCAATATAAATTAACTGGTACCACATGCTGCTGCTTTGTTAGCACGGCTACCCTGATTAATCAGATTGCTCTCTTCTTAAGAGAATTTCTTATAAAATATCTCTCACAGCACAGAGCAGATTCACAATAAACACTAACTGCTTTTTCTTTTTCTCACCTCAGAAAAACATGCTATTACTTGTTTTCTTCCCTAGTGGCAGGGTTAGGTGTACATATGCCATTCTTGTAGTTCTCCTATTGGTGGGCCCAAAACTCCATTAATTTGCAAAAACGGTTAATCAAGAGCCATGTATGAGCATTTGCCAGTGAGAACAGAACTCATCTCTACCACACGCTGGTAGAAAATGCTATACAATTAAAACAACTGTTCCAGTTCACAGTGTAGTAGAACACATCATTCTTTTGGGAAATACTACTATCTAGTTTCATCTAGGTCTGCCCATGACCACCCTATTTCCTTCTTAAAACAAGGTTCCTTGTGTTGGTATTAACTTCTTTAAAATGTAGCTATTTCTTCACTATATCCTGGTAAAGTAAGAAAAGGAATCATACTAACAGTTCATATTCTGACTCTGCATCTTATAATATGTGAGGTAGAGAAGTTGTTCCATTTATTCTGGCTGATTTTTTTCATATTATAAAATGAAAGTAAAGCTAGACTACATATTTCCCAAAATATTTTACAGTTCATAGGAATTTTAAAAGTGTTAGGCTCTTTAATTGCTTGACATTGAGGGGTAACTCAGAAGCCAGGCTTTAATTTTAAGTATTTCTTATAAAAAGCCTGAGACTGATGGGGGGGGGGGCAGATATGTGAAGGAGAGACTAAAGCTGGCAAACAAAAGGTGGCTTCCTGAAAAGATTACAGTCATCCATTATAGACAATTTTCAGAAGGCATCTCTCAGAGGGCACACCAGACTAGATATTGGCAAAATATTGGGCGGAAACCCTCATAGATATTTAAGTATTGCCCATCTTGCTAATGATTTCAACTCACTGAACCCAGAGAAGCTAGGCTCGCCTGACCAAGGTTACAGTGCCACTGGTTTTGCCAACCAGCACTACTCAACCCTGCCTTCTTTCTTATAAGAGAAATTCTCTGTAGCTGTAAGTAGGATGTTTGGCTATGAAGAAACTAAACCAATAGAGTTAAAAATATTCAAAACAAAAATAAAACCCCAACAATGATGCAAAGTACACCTCACAGGGCTTTAACCTATAAGATTATTTAACCAATAAGACTTAAGATTATAAAAAGCTCTTCATGCCAAAAATAGAGAAAAAGACCAAAAACAAAACAAAACAAAACAAAACAAAAGGAAAAACGCCAAAAATATGATCACACTGGCTCCTTCCCTCTATTTATGTTGGGTCAATTCTGGAGGGCTCAAGAGATCGACAGTAGCCACGATAACTGATCTACTGTTTTCATCTTTAAAGAAGCATACTGGAAAATAACCAAGTGGTAAAACCCAGAAACCAGACTACCATGGCCTCCCTGTTATCTTTTCTGTAATAATGATTTTTTTTCTTTTTTCCCCCCCAAGATTTTTAAGTAATTTTTAAGTAACCCAACGTGGGGCTCAAACCTACAACCCTGAGATCAAGAGTCATATGTTCTACCGACCTAGCCAGTCAGGCACCCCTGAAATAATGATTCTTAACCTTGTAAGGGATCACTGGCTTCCTGAGAATCTGATGAAAGTTTTGAATTTTCCCCAGAAAAATTCATGTAAATAAAGGATTTTGCATATAATCATCTACAGGTAAAGACTTACACAGACATTTAGGAATACAGGTTTAACAATGCCTGCTCTAGAGGAATAAATGGAAGAAAAGCTTCTAAAAGCCATGATTTCAAGGAAAGCAACAACATAGGCAGTATAAAGGGACATCTCCTTTGGCAAAAATTCACTAAGAAAGAATAAAAAGGCAAGTTTCCAAACTTTTACACCAATTATTTCATTTACTTAATTACATACTGTCCAGTTTCAAAAACAAAACAGCTGAAGTTCTTATCATTTACCTCTGCATATTTCCAAAAGAGTATTTGTAAAGCCATATACACAGAGTACCTCTGAATACCTACTTGTGTTCTCCTTTTCAGTTTGACTTTTCTTTGGAATTCGATATACCTCCTGCAAAAATAAACCAAGAGAAGGGTTATTAGCATGGAGTGGAAGTGATTGTGTTTAAGCTGACTGATTTCACATGGTGACAAAGAAATAGGAATGGGCTGGTATTTAATTATTCTCCAAAATTTGACTTACATCTAGCTTTAAATAATAGATGCTGGTTCCCTTAAAAACAAGTAAAAATGTGTAGCATATAAGCTACACATACACACACACACACACACATTTATTATGTATATTTATGTTTCATTTTGTTTTTTAAACATCTACCAAGAGGCTTATATGATCTCATTAGCCAAGTAGCAAACTAATTATATTTCTGGAAGGAATATACTTCCTGATAATCTTTCCATATGCTTTCTGCATATAAAATGAAGTCATCTATAGTTCCTTTACTGAGAGTATTCATCAGAACACTCTCGTAAGAACAATTCTAACCTCTCACTTGCCATCGCTACTTAAGGGAAGAAGGGTTAGTAATTACTTAGCTATATAAAAACACCTCAGAAAAACTGTATGTGTGAAGACAATGCCTGTTGTTCCTACTTTTCTATAAATGAAAAACTTGGCTAATGGCCAAATGTAGTATTTCCTTTCATATTGTTATTTTTAAAAAGAAAAGATAAACATTAGATCATTGTTGCTCTTGAAACAGCATCTAAGTGTACCAAAATTGTTCTTGACAAATGTAAACTATGTTTTTAAGCCCTGAATACCTTTTCTTGATGTAGGAATCTAAGGCTTAGAACATGTTCTGTCCCCTGACAATCCCTTGCTGTTTTAGTCATCAAGTAGCTCAACATTTCCTTCTCCAGTCACCTTGGTAAGTGGGCAAATGGCAAATCCACACATTCTCAATGGAATATCACATGATACTCTCCATTTAGAGTAATCTCATAATATTGACCATACCTATATGATTTGGTAATTTCATTTTTTTTTTTAGCAATTGTAGTCCAAGAAAATCAAAGAACTCCTCTTTCCACATGATTATTGGTCCTAGCAGTATTTGTGGAAAGTAAGAGATAATCCACATGCCATACGACCGAGGAAGGGTTAAGATTTAATATTCAGTTGCAATTAAAGATGATAAATACAGACCAAACAGATACTGGGCAATCTATATGAATGTAGATTTTTTAGAAAAAAATCCTTCAACACTTCATGCATGCTGATAAATTACCTAATAAAGATGATGACTGTCATGATTAGATGTGTACTTATCCTGTGTGTCAGGTTATCATACTAAGCATTTCAAATGCATTACCTTTTTGAGCTTCAAAACATCTCTATGAGGGTAAGTACTATTATCTCCATTTTACAAATGAGAAAACCTACTTAAAAATCTTAGCAACCTGACCAAGGTTATGATGCTATTGGACAGCATGACTCCACAGCAATTTTATCTTCTGTACTAGACGACCCAGGATATGGTTAACAGTCGGCATTATCTGGGAAGGAGTACCACTTGAGGAACCTAAGCATAAATGTAGGTGGCATCCTCTATTCCCCCAGCCCCTCTTTCATATGTAGGACTTCCACTAGAGCTGTGATTCTCAACTCTGGCTACACAATTAGACCACTCCAGGAAACTCTCATAGACATACTATGCCAGACAAATAAAATCTAAAATTCTGGGCATGAGTCCCAGGCATCTGTATTTTTTTTTTTTTTAAGCTCTCCACATGATTCTGTTGCCTACATGTAGAAGGTTGAGAACCACTGAACTACTATCTTCTCTTAGCAGCCTTCACTCATTCCTCCTCACAAGAATTTGAGAGAACAAACTGTGTATGCCTGTCCTCAGCTCAAAGCCACCTGGGGGTGGCTCCTCCGAGGAAATGTCTGGAGTTGTCAAGCTGTCAGTGTCTAGCTGTGGGTAATAGTGAATCAGGGTATTGTATTTATAATACAGTATTTATACAGTAAGGACAAAGCTGATATTCTTAGCTCTGACTCCTCTGTCCACCCCCCGGGGGTTACCAAATTTGGGGAAAAAGTAAGAATGCCACTTATCAGCACCTACTCACACTATAAGAAAAAATAGGTATTCTATTAATTTTTAAAGGCTTGGAAATGACTGTTGCATTTGGTACTCTGTAAATCTAGGCACTCCAAAAGGTAACGTGTTCATCATAAAGGCTGCTTAGAACATACAGATATGCAGGTCTGTGTCAACTAAGGATTACGTAATTTTTACCTGTTTAGTTTCTTTTGCCTAAGGTCTTGGGCATTACAAGTGTCCATTACAAGCATTTATAGTAATTTATCACACAGTCCTCAAGCTGGGACCCATTCTATGGTGGCAATTAACGTACCAGAGGAAATGTTTCTCAAAAATATATTAACTCTATCAAAAGTTTAGAGCAACTGGGGGCTATTGGGTGGCTCAGTCGGTTAAGCATCCAACTCTTGATTTCAGCTCAGGTCATGATCTCAGGGTCGTGGGATCGTGGAGAACTGCCTGAGCCTGAGATTCTCTCTCTCCCTCTACCTCTTCCCTCACCCCGTCTAAAAATAAGAAAGTTTAGAACAATAGCTAAGTAGAAAATGTATTCCGATATTCACAAAATGGATGATTATTACTGACTTGTGACCAAAAGCTATTGACTTTTACTCTGTACCTAATACTATGGGGAACAAATTCCATCAACATGCACCCAAGCGCTAAGGAGCTACTAACTTGATCCTCCTCTTCATATAGTTAAAGCTGTATATAAAATTTTGGGGCACCTGGGTGGCTCAGTCGTTAAGCGTCTGCCTTCGGCTCAGGTGAACTGGGATCGAGCCCCGCATCGGGCTCCCTGCTCAGTGGGAAGCCTGCTTCTCCCTCTCCCACTCCCCCTGCTTGTGTTCCCTCTCTCGCTCTCTCTCTCTAATAAATAAAATCTTAGAAAAAAAAAAAGCTGTATATAAAATTTAAACTGGAAACTCAAATTATCTACTTCGAGGCCCTGAATTTTTCCAAAGTCCCACAATAATGCAACCTGAGAAGGAAGCAGTCATATGAAGATTACTATAATATTTCTTAAAATTATTCTATCTTGTGGATAAATAGCAATAAGGTTAGCTTATATGATATGGAACACTGGAATAGTGTCATACACCTGCAGGCCATTGCAGAAAAATGTTTATCTGAGTTGGCTTCACTCACATTAACACTCCATGTAAAATCATTTTCCTCTGTTAATTCTACTCAAGAGACTGGCATGTTATGAAAGAAGCCTACAAGAATCTGGTTCCCCACTCCACCCAATATTCTTTACCTATCACCCTGTTTTACTTCTTTAGTGTCTAGGTGCTGCTCCTAATTAACACACACTCACATGCACTCAAAGCTATAATTCTTATTTAAGTGGTTTTTTTAAAAAGATTTTATTTATTTATTCGCCAGAGAGAGAGAGCAAGTGAGCGCATGAGCAGGAGGAGTGGCAAAGGCAGAGGGAGAAGCAGGCTCCCTGCCAAGCAAGGAGCCCAATGCGGGACTCGATCCCAGGATCATGACCAGAGCCGAAGGCAGACACTCAACTGACTGAGCCACCCAGGTGTCCCTTGCAGCTATAATTCTTAAGGGCCAAGATTGTCTTACTCTTTGCTGTATCTCTAGCAAAAAGAAAATGCCTGGCACATAGACAACACTCAACTACTTGTTGAATGGACCAGTAAGTGAAATACTACTCATAATTTACAGAAATCACCACAGTGCTAAAAAACTTCAAAGTATTACACAGCTCATTTTTTAAAACTCACTAAATCTATACCTTCATTCTCTTTCATCCCTGGTAAGAATGCTGTTTACAGGCCTCACATATAACCACAAACATGTTTGTGGAGTTGTATTTCCAGGGTCAGATTAATAAGTGTGCCTCCGCAACATTTTGAACTCTTATCAATGCTTAGAACTGCCCACTCTTGGGCAATTAATCACTCCTCTTCAAGGGCTCAAAATCAATCTTCAGAAATTGTTTGATAAACACTAAGTCACTGATAAGTTCATGCACAAGCAATGCATCCAACATCCCTTTATAAAAGTATGTAAATATGTGTGGAGTTGTTTTTAATTTGTAGACACAAAGAACAAGTTCTTTGATGGCTATTTGTGGAAATCTGGTATGCTCATTTAAATAACAAATACTTAGGTAGAGACTAGGTGTTAAAAGCACGTATCAAGGGTCTCCTATTTTTAAAGGACACTGGAGAAACATAGTAGCAGCCACTAAGAGGTTCACAGGCTAACAATGTGGCTGACAATTCTTACTGTGTGCCATGTCCTTTAACTGCATTCTCATATACTCTTACATTGCTATGAGAAGTACCTTTGCTGTATCTACAGTACATAGAAAATAGGCTCAGAGAGGTTAAATAACTATACCAGGGTCATACGATGCCACAGTGAGCTATATATTGGACCCAGGATCTAAGCCTAGATTTGTCTCTGTCCAAAGCATACACTTTTAACCACTACTACTACCTCCTGAACACTCAAGGAAAAGAAAAAGTAGGGCGCCTGGGAGGCTCGGTTGGTTAAGCGACTGCCTTCGGCTCAGGTCATGATCCTGGAGTCCC